AACTTCAGGTATAGATAGAACAATAAATACCGACGTCTCTATCACATTTTTGTACAAGATTATGTCATCGTGCACCGCGTCTATATGACAATTATAATAAAACCTCCCAAAGATAATACAGGTACGAGAACACTCAAACTCACATAAAAACTTCGTCTTTCGTAAATTTGCTTTTCGTGTAGCGAATCTGGCAAGTTAACTTTTGCAGAAAGCTTTAGGGGTAGGAGTTGGGTAAAAAGTTTGTTGATCTTTTTTTATTTTAAGGATAAACTTCGCTTGCAGGCATGTTGTAAACAACATAGCCATGTCCCTGTCTCGTCTAGAGTGGCAACAAGTGCGCTGTGCAAACATCCCGCCGGCTGTCGTACAACTTGCATGTTTGTGTCCCCAAAACATTTTATAAAAGATTTAAACCCTGAGATTACTGGCAACTTCGTACCGCCGCGTTCGGTGTCGCGACGCTCGTCTCGGCTTTATTGTCAGGTAATACTGTCGCAGTTTGACTTTGAAGTGAATTGTAATTACTTGCTCGCGGCAGGGCTTGAGATAGAAGACAGTCTATGAATGATGTAAAGCTACCTACGCTGTCATGCACGACGTGATGTCAGAGTAAATAAATCATGACAATTACATTATCGTTTTACCAAGCCCTTAAAATAAATAACTTTAATTACAGTCGCACCGTAAAACGATTAAAAATCAGACAGCAGAGAGAGGCACGTCATCAAAGTTAGTAATTAAATTCATAAAGTATTCCGCAACGTTGCTCATGTGAATTATGAAATTTAATTTAATTTATGCATGTATGACTAATGTAGATCTACGGGGATTGTTTGTGAAGTTAATGGTTAAAATTATTTCACATTTTGCAGCAGATCTAACTCAATTATTTTGTTGCACACTTTGACGCATTAAATGCAATTAAATTCGTGTCTGCGGAATTAATTGCTGAGCTGGTTGTTACTGAAATATTCGTAACCTAATTTCATAATATACCTACTAATACAATCGCGATGAAATTTACGTTCAGTTTGACGATCTAACAGAATTCACATCTTTGTTAAAATGTAGGTAGGCATGTAGATATAAGAGCTCGTGTGTTAAAATAACTGCAATAATTGCTAGTATGTATTGTAACTAGATCGTATGCAACGTATGAAATAAAAATAAAGGTTATTTATGCAAGTCATCAATTTATACCCGACAACGATAATCTTAACAACCGAACATCAATATAGTGGACAATATAGATTTGACATACCCGACTATCGTAAAATTCCATATGAATTTCAATAGCCAATACTCCCGGTAGATAGTAAAAAAATATCGGACGTGTGCGTAGAACATTAGGCCCGAAAAGGATACGAAAGCCCGTAACGTCACGAAGTCCGCCCCAAGCAATTTCGTAGCAAATGTCGTGTGCTACGTGCCCGACAAATAAAGAGGATGGGATAAAGTCACAGTATTACATTAGAATAGCTAGCTCACGATACAATTTCATACGAGTATTTTACCTATGTCAAGGGATACGTCATCTTTTTGTGACGGACGTGATGTCTCAAAGAGATTTCCAAATGATAAATTGACTTCCAAGTTATGCTAAAGGCCCCATATTTTATCTAACCTAAATCTCTGTATGATTGTGTGAGAGGAAATACTACCCACGTTTCTCTCAATGCAATCAATGTTCACGACCAAAAATACACTATGTCCTATAAATTATTATAGACGAAAAATATTTCCAACGGCTCCCCTTCGCGAGTTGCTTAATTTTTCTAAGTGCGAATCTATTTTTCACCCTTGGCCGTCTTCCGTATACGATTCTCCCTCAAGATTTACGCTCTCGACGCGAGCAATAAGCGCGCCTACCTACGACCGACGCAGCCTGTTCGGTATTTTAAAAAGGTACGTCTGAATCCGGTGAAAAATTGCTTCCCGCCCGCCCCAACCGAGAAGCCATATATTTCAGTCATCGTCGTGTATTGAACGACCATGAAGATGGGACAAATAACTTATTTAAAACGTTAAGTGTCTGCAGGATGGACGCCCCACGGCTTAACATCGCATTGAGGACAAGGGTCCTTATAAATAAGAGTAAATCAGTAATCTGCAGATTTCCATGCGGGTCTCAATTGAAGAGAAACGCTTTGATGGTTGTTGAAAGTGTTGACCCAGCAACCTATATTGTACTTGTGCCTATCCCTCATATCGACAAGTATTTCCAATGAAACGCTCAAGTAGTGCGAAGAATCTCGATTAATGACCGATTGCTAACTACATGAGGCATAAACCGTAAGCGATCCATTACAAGTTATGGCGATATAAAAGGTAACATTTATCCAACAAACAATATGTCGGTAGGTACTAAGTGCCAAGATTGCCCTTATAATCAGTGAACGTAGCAATATGGAATGTCCCGAGAAAGGTTTTACCGTTGAAATAGCATTGAATAACAAAAGTAAGTCGAGAGTAAAGGTGAAAGTGCGGATGGCGAGGATCCGCCGGGTCGCGGGTAAATATTAACAGTTGCTCCTTGCAAACAACTGCTTTTGAGCTCAGATTGAAGTTCAAGCAATATTTGTATACAGAGGCGTGCTTATAAATAATAATTTTGATGTAGTTCCATTGAAACATATTGCATCATAGCACGATTGAGTGAGCACGATCGAATGAGTCAGAGGACAACGCTTCAATAATGGTTCCGTTCATAACAAACATTACCACACTGATTTTTCGCTCGACTTTTAAACTATTTATAGTTATAACAAAATATTTCATACTACTTTGTCATAGTGACTACCTATCCGAACTAAATTCGTTACAAGTTTTTCGCAACACTGCTTACATAATTACACAAACAAAACCATAAAACACCACTTGTCTCGCTTTCATCTAAATGTAACAATTTGAACGCATCTCACAAAATACAACAAAATGAATTAAACATTAACACCAGAAATACATAGTATAAAAAAATTGGAGTGTTCCCATCGTAAAACACATTAGCACGTAGTTAGGGGCATACAGCCTACTGATATTGGTGTAAAAGGGAAAATGCATTGGCTTTTTGTAATGTGGCAATAACCTGGGGATTAGGACGGGCCGGTCGGAATACTCGGCCATTTTCCGTTTCACGCACTTACTTATACCCTAACATGCTTACGATGGAGAATCTTTAGCGTAGGGGTCGCTGCGCTATGCGTATCTAAACGTGTATAAAGGAACGCTTACGCTTAAATTAATATGTAATAGGGAGAAGATCGCTTCAGTCTGCTGGATAAGGAAAAAGTTACGTTGCAAGCTGACAGAATTATCAAGAAATGTATGTATTAGACGAAGTAAAAAAATATGTCGAATTCCTCAATAGCATTTGAAAAGAAATTACCGTTAACATCAGTGAAAACTAGGTAAACTCATCGATATTTTAAATACTTTAGCACGTACTCGGTGACACTAGCCAGTTGTATTTCACACGATTTCTCTGTTAGATTTCTAAACGCTAACACTAATATGAAATGAAGAGACATTATCCTTATTTCAAAAGCACAATACTGTAGACACGCTGTCAAACCAAATTGGTTGAACTCCAAAACCGTATGAAGATTGTATTAGCTTTCTGAAACATACGGAGTGGAAACATTTGCTTCTGTGTGTTAAACAATTCGAGTATGTGAGGATAGAGAAACAGTTTGCACGTCGCCAGTGTTTTGTTTTCTCCTACATTACTCCATTCCGTTATCTGAGAGGATCCGTAGGACATAAAAGCTAAGGCCTGTTTCTCGCCTCGTATATCGTATCGATTTAGATAGACGGCGAAAAGACATTTTGTTGCTAAATTAAACAACGAGCGCGATATATTTGGAGGGATTTAGTAGAACTCTTTTTCGGGCTTATAAGCAATTTTGTGCAGAAAAGGAGCAAATAAATAACTATCTATCGCTGTTCGGGTGTTCGATTCCGACATTGCTGTTGTATAAAGCTACAGCTGATTCTGATATATGCGATCCCTTGTGTTTGTGTCGTTTAGCGTTTTGATGCTAAATTTGGAAATTAATGCTTTATGTGGAATCAAGTTTAATGCTTACCAAATTTAAATCTTAATTTATGGACATACAGTGTGGTGATTTGTTTCAATAAACCCTAATGCCAATAAAACGAAAATTGAAATCTATATCATGACACCAGTTTCAAAAATTAAAATAAAAAACGATTTTTAAATCCAGGCAATGCAAGTAACTGTTTTACTTATAAACTGGCACACTGGCCGTTTGTATGTAAAAGATCTTAAAGCCACTTGGTATTCATTCGTGCAGAACATGCAAAAGTACTAGATATTTTTATACGCAGTTAGCGCTTTCGGAGAAGTGGCTTATAGCAGTATTTGTAAAGGAATGTCGTATCGCCACACCTTGGTAGCAAACCGCTGCAGCATCCTTGAAGGCCACATTCCAGCACCAAAGTCTATTTACGGTCTAAGACCTCATTTACAATTGCATATGAATGGACCTTATCTATTCAGCCATCTTTCTTTATGGTATCGTTTCTAAAAGTCTGCAGACTTTCGCTTGTTCAATTGATTGTCTATTTTAGTGATGTAACATTTTGATTGTTATTAAAATGAATTTTCGTATTTCAAGTTTTCTATCACCGTTTTCTATTGTGATGTATAATTAATGGACGGTTGACATTTATATTTTGAGAGATAAATTTGATTATTACATAATAAACATTGATTTTATTATTAGTTTAGATAGGTATACATTGCATCTAATTTAAATAAATATAAGATTTATTATTGCTGATGAATTTAGACCAGAGAATAGTTCTTTAATGTAGTCATAATTTCTTCTTGAAATAATGAAACCAATTATCCTACAATTCTGTCAGAAAACAGAAGTATAAAGCGCCACCTACCTGAGAACTCAGTAACAAAACTCTCCCATTCATATTAGTACAAAACTCTGTACAAACATTTCAAATTACTGTTATTGTTGTTTCAGAATATTTTGGACAAATTTAATCCAGGTGCTCGTCAGATGATAACGGCCGGAAAGGCCTACTTAAAGGCTTTACACGGTAAGTACCTTTTTATCACATCACACCTTTTTATTAAATTGAGTTTGGTGCAGAACATCGTTTTGTATACGCGCCTAATTTGAATATTACATTTTTTTTATCTGTGGATGGAGAAGAGTGACACCGTTTTTACAGCTTAGAAATATATTTTCTTCTCTGTGAGTGATACAAAGTCTAGATAATATGCCTTTGATTACGTATGTCATATTCAAATAAAATTTGATCAAAGACACATGAAAAGCAAAGAAGTAGTACATCTACCTACTTTTAAATAATTAGGTATATAAAAAAATCACTTGGCTTGCTTGACTTGACTGCCTCGTTGGCCGGGTGGTCGTGGTGATTCCCGGGCCGGGCAAAGTACTACTGAGTTTTTATAAATTCTCAGTAGTAGCACGGAGTCTGGAATTGTGCCCCGTATATGACAATATACTCACCCTCTATTACATGGGACTCATAACATAAATAGTGAAAAGTAGGTGTTACATTGCACAGTAGCATAATGTACACCTCTGCCTACCCCTTCGGGGATAAAAGGCGTGATGTTATGTTATGTTAAAAAATCACCTTAAATATAGAAAAATCCTGGTTAGTAGTAAAATATTAGTTCTAAAGTTCTGTAAGATTTACCAATAAGCCTGTATAATAACCACCTGTGTCTATCTGGAGATGCAATAAATTGTGATCATCGTGAACAGGTTGCAACACTCTATGCTAATCAAAGCTATATAATTTACACCACTACGTAATTGTAGGCTCCTTAGTAATACTAAGAACAAGATATGGGATCTTCCCATGACTTGTAAGAGGTGATTAAAAGATATAATCGCACTTGTAGCTGTTTTACACTAATTAGAACTTATTTTAAACATCTAGTTTTAAGATTGGACTATGTGTCGTTGCCGCTAGCTGGAATTTTGCCATGTAGTCCTTAAATGAGTTTTAATTCATCTAGAAACGTATTACTGAAACAACTTCCAACATTAACATTAATTTGAGTAATTCGTAATAAATAAAAACTTGCATCGAATGTCCAACAACAGGGCCCGTTCCATTTTAGAAAAAAAATCATAAGATTAAATTGATGTATGATATTGTTCTTCTTTTAAATAACAAAGTACAACGACGTTGTAAATTTAAAAACAAATGATACGCCAATGACGTCAGACCCAAAATGACAAGGATAGAAACATATCGTATTCTTTTTATAAATGCAATATTTTCTTCTGCTACGTTGCCAGCACAAAAACAAATGACACGGCAATGAAGACATTAGTCCATAAAGAGGATTTCTTCACTTAACAAATCCCTAGCACAATTTTTAACATTGTAAATTCAAATATTTTTGACCTGCTCACTTAGTCATCTATAGTATAGTATATAGTATCTTCATCACTAGTCTTATAAAGATTTACATTTCAAAACAAAACTTAAGATAGCTCAGACACAACAGAACAAGACACGGTCCTAGGCTTTGTCTGTGGAGAAATTAGCATACCCTAGACGTAGCTAGACACAACACAATTAGCTACATCAATAAGAAAGTGAAACCGTCGCAGCGACTCGTAAATCTCAGTTGACGCGTATTCAGTGAAACGTGTACAATTAATTTATGTAGTGTAAGCCAAATGGGCGCATCTATATGCAAAACCTCGGTGTTCCCTTGCTTGGCTACGGAACTGGGGCGTGGTTTGTGCCAAATTGTCTCTGCTGGCTTATCTACAGTATTGTAGCCAGCACTAGCTGTAATAAACTTGGGCATTCCCGCGATGTATGGCTCCAAAGGCCTCCATGTGTGTACTTTATTTTGATGTGTTGTGGTTAATTTTGTTCTATCTCGGTTTATAGGGTAATAGGTAGTCAGTAGGTGACCTCTTTATTTATTATCTCAACTTTGTCCTTATTGTTCTGTTGCTCAAACTTTTGCTTATAAATCAAAGGATTCAAGCACAAGGGAACAATAAAAACTGCATATAACTGTAATTTACGGACGCCTCTGTTTTCACGTTTATCATCATTTTATTACATTTTAAAACAAATGACTTTACTTTTGTTTTATTGAGTAAAATGGGTCTTAAGATTTAATTTCGTCTAATTCCACGATTGAAAGCTTGAAGCACTTAACATTTTATGGCGCCTCACAGATTCGTAAAATACCATCGGCATCTTTACATCTGGCCTGAATATTTTTACTTGGAAGGGCAAAAAATGTTGTTGCGACCTCCAAACATTTTTAGGACAACAGCTTTTGGTGTTTAACCGTACTTTTATTGGCTTGTGCCAAATACAAGTACCTACCTGTTTAATTTATTCTAACGAACTTTAAGAATTTAGCTCTGTTAAGGTAATTAAGGCAAGTGATCTTGTTAAAACCCGTTCATACCTTTTTTGTGGCTAGGCCGCCGCCGTAGTCACAGATTATGTAAGTAAGGTACTTTGAAACCGAACCTACGTCTGAGATAACTCGATGAGGTACATATTCATTTTATCGAAGAACAGGTACCCAACGATAATCCCTTCTGTAACAACCCACACGGGGAAAGATAAGGGGATCCTATTCACCTTCAAAGACGTGTCTCCATAGATATTCTAGTTTAGATAACATCGAGGAATAATAAGAGATTTTTTGTTGCTTACTGTAAATCACTGCCTGTATTTTATGGACTTTTAATCTTAAGTAGGATATTCAAAGTCAGATAAACTTTATATCCATTTAAGTACTACTTTCTATCTTATATTCTTACTATTATAACAAACTGAAGAGTTTGATTGACTGTTTATTTCTTTGAATCTCAGGAACTACTGGACTGATTCGAGAACTTCTTTTTGTATTGTATAGCCCATTTATCGAGGAAGGCTATAGGCTATAAAACATCATGCTATGGTCAATAAAAGCTGAACATAGCGGTGAAACCACGTGGAAGTAGCTAGTATTGTTATAAAGATAAAAAATAGTTTTATTATTTGCAAAACTAATAACATAACGGTTTTACGAAGAAGTTAACTATGTAAGGATCTTATTAACTGGCTGTAGGTATTTACAGAGACTTTGATGCGATTTAATTGTCTGTGTGATCTCATAACTTACTAATAGGTAAAGATGTAGGTAACACGGTAGCCAAAAAGTCCGTAACCGCAACGCATTCCTATTCATATACATTTGCGAAATTACTTACAATTTATTATAAGAATCTTAATTGCTGCTCAAGTTTACGTAAGTATGGTACAGAGATCGTTAACCCACTTCATCAATGACCGTCCATCTTTACCAGAAAAGAAAAAGATCAATCATTTCTACATTCAGAATCTGCTTTATGTAATAAAAAAGATAAAAACATGTGTAGTGTGGAGCTAGATGACATAATGCTGTAATTTAATAATAATAAGTACTTTCACCGCTTAGATAATGAGTAGAGGCGATATAAATAGACAACAGCATAAGAAGGTACCTACTCCAAAAAGTAAAATTTCTATAACACATTTTCTTCTTTATTGTATTGTAATAAAGTTGAAACTCTATTAAATACATATGACAGTCAACCCCAAAGGTAAATTGATGTGCTCGCAAGTCGCATCTGTAGTATCCGATAGTTTAGTAGGTATTAATAGTATTACGTCCGAATACATAATCGCATCGACATATCCGCGATAGAAAACATTTCGATTTTTTATTAGTTTTTTAAAATAATCGATTCATCGTCTATTCAATTTAGTTACCGTAACTTATCGAAGAAGATTTACATTAATTATTATTGTAGCGAACTTTATGTGAGATTTATGTTAAAATTGTGAAAATAAACTAGTTTAAGGCATAATTTCGCTGTATATTTCACATTATTTAGTATCCAAATTAATGAAACTAGTTTCTTTGACGCCATAATTGTTATAGCTAGACTGTGTTGTTAGGTGATATAGATGGAAATTAGTTTTATAAATAAACATAATATAGTTTTCCAAAATCTGTTATATAATTATCGAGAACTACCTTCTGCCCGCGACTTCGTACGCGCAATCCCGTTTTCTCCCGTTCCCATAAGATTTTCAAGATTTTTTTCTATCATATAAACCTATATCAGGAGAACCTGACAATAACAAACACAACAAAAAAAAATGAGCCAAATAGGTCCAACCATTCTCAAGTTATGGCGTGACCACGGGAAACGGGTTTCATTTTTATAAGTATACTAGCGGACCCAACAGACGTTGTCCTGCATATCCACTTGAATGTATAAATAAAAAATCATTCAATTTAGTTCAGCTGTTTAGGATAAATAACCTAAACATCGACTGCAGCGCCATCTGCCGGGCTGATTTGTGAATTTAAACCATTCCCAGATCCCCTTGAACACACACAAAGAGTTTCATCAAATTCGGTCCCGTCGTTTGAGAGAAGTTCAGTGACATACACACTCACAGAAGAATATATATACATATAAAGATATAGATTAATTAATGTGCGTTGAATCCATAACAACCTTTTTCAAAACCATGAGCTTTGAGTGTTCATACTCAAACCGCTTCGATTATTCATTTATCTGCATCATTCCATCCCATATTCAATTCTTCTACGTCATTCATACAGCTAACCACGTCATGTTCAAAACAGATATAATTCCACCCTTTCCTCAGTCAATAACGAGGACTTTCATAAAACAATAGGCCGCCAGTGCACTCTTCATTTTTCCCTCAATCCCCAGATGTATCGTGAATCGGCACGTTTCCATTAAACCTTGTTCGTTTCAAATGGGCGATGGTGAAGGACATCAGTGCATACATATGGGCTTTATATGAATGGTTTTTTGCGCAGGTGCGGCCGCCGCATCGAGGTTGTATGTCGATGCAGTGGGGAAGCTTGGCAGGCAGGCACAACAGGGCACATGGGGAGGATGCGCCGATATAGGTATGGAAATATATTATGTATGGTATGGAGGTTGCAATAAAGACAAAAGGGGGCTTTGAACCCATTTCTTCATATTACTGATTAAAAATTTGTGACACATATGGTCCAGTTCGCTGCAGATAGCGATAAACTTCAGTAAGACAAAATTGAAATAACTTCTGTGTTATCGTGCATAGTTGCTAAAGTTACTGATACTAATTGAGATTGTCTTATTAGCACTAAACAGTTAAAAGACAAAGTTACTCTATGATTTTAAAGATCCGAATTTGTAAGAAACATCGCTAAAATAGCAATAATGTTACAGGAACTGCTCTTATGAAGGTGGTGGAGGTATATCGAGAAATACAAGATCAACAAATGAACATCGTAAGTATCGTTTACAAACGAGTTTTTAAATAATGAAATGGATGGTTAAAGCCGTAAATGTAAAATAACTAAAGTTATTCTTATCAAATGTTGAGTCTAAACTTAATCACAACAATAAGAAAAGTTTAATTACAAGTTTAGAATACTACACAGAATGAGGTCATCGTATCTATTTTCCCTACGATACCGTATCCACCCTTTACTTGACATTTATCCTCGTAACAGAAACTATCTGAAACGTCCCCATCCAATAATCTGCAAGTTATTTGTTTGTTACAGCTAAAGGCGTTTTACGTAGACCTACTGGTCCCCTTGGAAACTAATCTGGAGAAAGACACAAAAGTAGTACAGGTCAGTCAATAAGGTTTTTTCTTTTCTTCTTTTCTTTCATAATCTTTTATGTGAATAGTTCCAAGTTTCAAGGGATTGTTTACCAGATAAAGGGAATAGGGTTCCGAGTTCAAATAAGCTTAGTATAGCACCCGTGAGATAAGATTTTCTATTAAAAAAGTTTCGACAACACTTCCTTTATATATTTCTGCAAATGGCGTAGTTTGTTTGTTCAGCACGAGCTGTGACTATTTACTACATGGTGATAATACATAAATCACATTTACTATGAGTAAAACGGCTGTTTTTCTCGAAAACTGTTGAGAAGATATTGAATTAGATCAAATTGTACGGAGCTTCTAAAACAAATTGGACCTTAGTAACTCGAAAGCCACTTTCCATTCGCAGCTCAAATTAGAGAATTTCGATTGACACTCAAAAACTCAAGGCGAACTATATTGTTCTTTTCATCGGAGCCCAGGTACTAGAAATTCATAAAATGAAAAATATAGTGGACGACACAATGTTCGTGAAACAATAGGAATGTTTGACATTCTGTTTATTACTTGTGCTCTTTTTCAGTCGGAACAAAAGAGGTTTTTACAACAACACAAGCTGAGGTCAGAGAGCTACAGTAAAGCTGCAGCGACAATTAAAAAACAACGGAAGAAGAAACCTAATGTCACTAAAGTTGGATCAGCTATGGACAAGGAGATGAAGGTAACTATTGCTAAAAGTCAAATACAAAGTCATTTATTTCAATTTGACCCCATGTACACTTTTCAACGTTAAATAAGTTACCCTAAATTATAAAACTATAATTAAATACTATAAAGTTGAACACGTATGAATTGATTTACAATTAAAATTATATTTTTAAAACACGTATAATACCTACCTAAGTAGGAATCTCTTGCAGACAACCTTGAGATTAGCGACAAAAATTATAAATTGTGCAATATGTATTTTTTTTGTATCAATGAATACCTCTATGCATAATTTATAGTAGCAGTGATAGTAGCATCAGATATGTCATTAGACATATTATTCGAATCTACATATTTTATTTAAAACGAAATATCAAATATCTTCTGATACGCACTGCTCTAATACACCGCATTATTTGCTATTCAACCTCCTTTTACGATATTCTCCTATTTGTACGATGCCGTATCGTTTAAATAAGTAGTAAAATAGATTTAAATTCTCGGCATATTCTCATTGAATGGTAATAGGAAACTAGGATTGCATGCATTATTCAAACGAGAGTATAGAGACCAGAAAAATACTTACTAGTTCATATAACATTTGCACAATGAGTCTACATGACATATTTTCACGTAATATGCATAATTATTTGCTTATAATTTCTTTTTAAGACTCTTGTAGAAAATATTTAAAACCATTATTGTCTCGAAATATAAGATGTGATTCATACGCCGTACACATAACCTAGCTTTTCCGAATTTCGAATTGGTTCCCAAATATGTTTAAGGTGAAATCTGATTATAAAACTAAATAATAAATTGTTAAAATGACAAAATCCCTATATTTGCAGGTAGTGTTCATTGTAGAAAATTGTTTCGAATTTATAATATAACACAATAAATGAATCATACTTTTTATTTTATTTTATTAATTGATTTGACTATACACGTTGTTTTGTTGTTTTTCTAATATTTAACAAGAAATTAATACGTTGTTTGAGACAAAAAATTGCATAAATCCCAATCATAACTGTTATACAAATTCATATACTGATCAGTTTTTAAATTTCGAAATAAGTCTCGACTTTGACTTTTATTTCAAAACGATGTACTTAATATGATATAATAACGATAGATGGCGTTAATCATTATAATATTTAGATAACGATAAACGAGGAAAACATCAAAACTATAATAAAACTAAAAACAGAAAACATACTTCACGAGCAAACTTTACAATAGTTAACTACACCGAACTAGTAATGACGTTGTAACAATTTTTACAGAACATGCAGATACTAGAGGAAGAGAAGACTAAATTGGATGCGTTCTGCGAACAAAGCTTGAAGAACGTAAGTACTGCAACAACGAACATCGAATTGTATCCTACCACAATACAACTACAAAGGAAAACGAACAATAAAAGAGAACTTTTATTGATCTTAGTAAAACTACATTCAGTTTTATTCATTCATTGTATCGCAGACAGGAGACAGGTCTGGTAATTGAATACCGGGGACCGCTTCCAGACAATAATGATCTAATTATAAAATACGAACGTTTCTGCAGTTCTAATTAGTTAGTTTTAATATTGTCTGCAAAGATTCTGTTGGCTAATTTGATTTTATTCGTTTAAACAACGAACGGTTCTTTGCATTCCGATTTCAAAAACTTTGTTCTTTTTTTTTCTTGTCTTTGATTTAGTTATGGCCTATACCTGTTCATATCTAATAAAATTATTGAAATACGGATTTTATTTTATGATATAGAATTAAACTATTAATTATCAAAATTAAATTAATACATTTGTAGACGTGCAGGATACACATTTACATACAGAATTCACATATCAATGCGATGTATCAAGGCCTGATTGCAAGAATGCATAATTTCATAAGATTTCGCATTCCAGTGATGACATAATATCACACGCATTTAAAACTAAGACTTTTGAAAAGTAACATTACAGAATAACGAATTGTTTTTTTTTTTAATTTAGCCAGATATTTACTGAAATTTATTTTTATTTTTCTTCGCAGGCTATGACACAGGAACGTCGTCGCTACGGCTTCGTGCTTGAACGGCAATGCTCCTTGGCTAAACACTGGTTGGCTTACCACACCGCGGGCGCCACTGCCTACAACTCTGGACTTGACGAATGGCTTGAAGTATCCCGAACCCGTGAATTCCTGCCACCCAATGTTGAAGCTATGTTCGTTAGCAGAATGAGAGTACGTTCACTTTTATTATCAGTTCTATTGTTTGAACTAAAGTCGAGAATCTGTTAAAGACATAGGGTAGCTTGATATGCTGGTCAGTTAATGTCAGTCATAAGTTTGCAACCTGCGTACATATTTTATACTAAATTAAAACCGTTATTTCATCTTGCATTCCTGCTCTCAAGGGCAAAACAGTAAACAGCTGCAGTTTATCCATTCAAATAAGGCACTTTATCTCTTAAATCAACTTGACGTTTAATAAACTCAACAACACACACAACAACACAATTTGTATTGCTGTACTGGGCTATGTTCACCAGGTACTAAAGACTACGTACAATAAACACATACAGCGATAAATTAATTGAATAACCTTACTTTGCAAATTAGCTAAGTAAGAGTCTCTCGCTAATGCAGCGGCAAACATACTTTAAAAAATGTTCGAAAATTTAATGAACATTTTAACGGAACATTCCACTTTATCCTCAAAGGTGTCAATTAGTAGCCATGCGTCCAGATAGGTCGTTGAAATTTTACCATCATTGCGTACTTAGCAGGCAAATTGCAGTATAAAAACAGGTGAAAAAAATCATAACTTATCACAATGTCTGGACATTTTAGGCGAGACACGGTACTTTGTTACTGATTCCCACCGTGCAACGGTGTGATGTCATAAAAATCTGTCATCCACTAACGTAAAATTATTTTAGGAGCCCCCACTAAGTATGTAATCCGATTAAACAGTCGTATTCCTACAAATTATAATGGAATAAGGATTGCGGCTTCCACTGAGAACCTCACAAACAAGGCATTTTATGGTTGTTTATCTGATTCTGATTAAAACTTTATGGCTTTGTGAGGTATAAACCGTGAACTAAATTCTTGAGGTGTACAAGGATAAACTTCATCTTAATTACAAATCAGAAGCTACATACATACTTGAAAGCTACATGAGTAAATAACTGCTATTTTATTTACAGCAAGTGTCATTCTGGGCTGATGAAGACGTATACGCCAGTCCACGCGTCGGCGATGATGATGATCGAGCTTCAGTAGGATCTGCTTTGCGTAAAACTAGATCAGTGGACGCTTCATGCCTTGACGTCAGGTCTATTGGAGACCTAGGCTCACCAACTCAAGGACTATCAAGAGCCAAATCTGATTTCAATCTACAAGCGAGCTCAAATAATGATGATTCAGGTTAGTATGTCACATAAGAATAGTTTGGAAGCACGAACTATCTGTAACAAAACAGATTATATATTATTAATGCTTTAATTACATTACAGCAACAGATACCCGTACAGCTACCCGACCTTCCTCTCTTGCCCCGCCAACCTGCACTACACGAGACCCACCACTGGCCCGAGCTCTATACGCCTACGCAGCAGCCGGAGACAACCAGCTGAGCTTCCAACAAGGAGATGTATTAGCACTGCTAGGAGAAAGGACGAAAGGGTGGCAATATGGCGAGAACTTGCGCTCGCATCACGCTGGATGGTTCCCACTCGCTACACTGAACCTATACCGTTTGATGAAGCTGGGTACGTTTTCATTTGTATTATTTTATTATATGTTGAAAAAATTAGAACTTACTAACTTATAATCAATGTTTTATTTTAACGGTCATTAACTTCTAGCTTTTCCGGCAGAAATTCACCAGCCCGATGGAGCTGCGTACAAACGCCATCAGAGGCTCCACCGCCCGCACCAATGGCACATGCGCAGACTACGCCCTCAGCCACAGTACACACGCACTCACATCCATCTACTCGTATGTTTGGCGATACTGTCACTGCTCATCATGTTACTAAGGTAAATTAACTAGAATGTCTTTTTATTATCGACAAAATTTATAATGTTAAAGCCAATATTAAATATGTTTACCATTTTTCTTAGGGACGACTTGGTAGCGGCTCACCAGGATTGCCGCCGACTTTACCAGCACCGTCACCCAGTGCGCTTAGCACTTCAGCAAGTGCCACATTCCACGCTTCTACTCCCGCCCCAGGTGCCACCACTGCCATCAAAAATTCTACATCATCAGCCAGCTTTACTACTCATGCTGTCATAGAAACTAGGAGTTTTGGTCCACAGACTTTACCTATGCGTTCTCAGGTATGTATTAAAAGACCACTTAAAAATAAGTGCATCTTTTTTCTAGTCATGTCAATAACTTTTGTATTTTTATTACAAGGTGGCCCAGAATAAAGCAGGTCCTGCTAAAACTGTCGTGAGTGCTGTTGGTGCTGTAGGAAATGTGTCATTGCACAGCTCCAATGACTCAGGATTCTCCAACGAGCCGCCGCCACAGCCCGATGTAGACTACAGTGATGAAGAAGCTCAACGGCTCCGTGTGCCGATCAGGTAAATTTTATTTCTGCTTAGTATAGTTTGAACTCCTGTTTGCTTGACTTTTGTGTTGCTCGTGTTGTAGTTTAGCTAGTTTCATTTATTTTTCCTTTTATTTATTTTTGTAGTAAATCTGCTCAACAAAACATCGACAATAGAGCGTATTTGCTTAAAACTCAAAGCCTGAAACGAGGCCCTAAACCCAACAATACTGCCAACGGGTACTTGACCGACGATCAACAACTGATGTTACGAAACATGCTGGACATGGACAAGGATTCCCAAAAGGTGAAAAGAACAAAATCGTTCTGGAAATTCGGACGCACTACTGCTGAAGAAATAATGGAAGGAATGTCGCTCTGGCAACATCGTGATATTGTTGATACTGTCCCTGAGTATAAAAAGAAGCTCTTTGAAAAAATGAAGAAGGAATTGCGACCTGCACCAGATATACCAAAACAAGCTAGTCCTGAAAAAACCCCGCCAACTGAAAACGGACAACCGCCACGTCCAAAAGAAACGATTGATAGGAAAGATGTGAAAGCTGTTAATGGCATTCGCCAAGCGAAAAGTTTAGGATCTATCCAAACTGAAGAAAGAATCGAAAAAAGTCGAAAAACAATGGAGTACCAGCATACCCAAACGATGAACAAAAAAAGTATGTCCGAGAAATCTATAATTGAAGAAAAGCACGAAGATTTCGTACCACGAAATGAATCAAGACACTCTGATTTAACTAACACGAGCACTATCAAAACAAACTTTGAAAACAGTTTCTATAACGATGAAAACGGTGAAGGTTTTGTGATGAAAACAGTTAAACGAAGAGAAATTTTACAGAAATATGATAACGATAGCAGTTCCGACGTAAATTCTGTTGCTTCAAGTACTGATCCATATGATTGTATAATTGTAGACGATCATATGAAATCAAGGAAGCAACAAGAAATGGATAGACGTCGGCAGACTCAAATGATTGAAGAAGATGTTAAGAAACGCAAAGAAAATGCTTATATGCCAGAGTTTGAAGAAATAGAAGTAACTCCTATAAAGCCACATGTTCGAGCGACACTATCTTCAGAGAAAACTAAAAACTCTCCCCACGAACGAAGTCCACCAAAAACGATGGAATTCAAAACGTTCAAAGACAGTTCAAAGGAAATCAAAACATTCTCTGCCTCATCTGAAACTCTTAAGTACAAAGATAATGAACAACACACCGATCGATATGGTATGCCCATAGAACGAAACAACAACGATGTCCATAACGAAGATATTTACAATGGGCACGATGAAGGAACTTTAAAGTACAAAAAACGCTCAAGTAATGATGAAAAGAATCACCAAACAAATACTGTTGAAAATGGAAAGAATCACAAGAAAGAGTATCCTCAAGCAGAAGTAAGAAACCAGAGGAAAGATGGAAGGCCATATGAGTCTAATCGAGAACCAAGAATTGATTACTCCTTAGACAGACGCCAAACAAGGAAAGAATTCACTGACACGAAAGGCAGGGAGCAAAAGAAAAATAGGGCGAACAGAAGTTACGACGATAGCTCTTTACCGTACAATGGACGCAGAGAAGAAAGGTACTATGAATCTAATATTTCGTACTTCAGTGACCAAGAGAGGAGATCGTCTCGGTACGACTATGAGACTGACTCGAAAAAAGCAGAGAAGTCGAAGATTCGTCAAGAGGAGGCTAGACTTGAAGCGAGGCGCTTTATCGACCGGCGGAGCGAGGGACCGTATAGTGAGTCTGACGACCAAAAATTCAACGAAGCTCTGAAGCAACAGAGACCACAGTTGCTTCCTCGTACCAAGTTATTGAAGAGACCGTCGGAAGGAAGCGAGATGTTGCCCGAAGAAGGCCATACTTTTGGACCCTGGTATGATTTATGGGGACGCGAAACAGCCGTCTACAAATAAAATGAAGGAGGTTTGTTTTTAAAAGTTTATTTATAAAATCTTTTTGTTCACTTTTTACTGTTGAAAGCATGTAATGTTGTTTTTTGCGACTTCCTTGTATACTTAGGCTTTCTAGTTTATTTCATGTAGTTATTTACTACGTTGCCGTATAATTATACCTTACTATTTTACATAAAAAAATAAAACACCTAGTATAAAGTTAATAAAATGAATAAGTAAAAAATCTGTTATATAAATATTCGTTGAAAAAAAAATCGTTAAACACACTTTATCTCAAAATAATTTTTTAATGTACTTTTATTCTTCTACAGGCCGCAACAATTTGCTACGGTAAAGTTAAGGAAAGCTCTAACAAATGACCGCTCGTCGCCAGCCATCGAGTAATGTTTTATATGCGTATAATATAATATAATTATATTATTTTGTTAATTAATATTAATTGTAAATTAGAAACACCATGTATTTTGTACAGTTAAATATTCATAGTCTAACAAAGAAATATATCACAATTTTTTACAATAATCTAAATGTTGGTTTTTTTATAACGATCCTACTGCTACACCTGAATTTAATGAGGTGAAAATAGAAAACATTTTCTTAACAAAGACGACTCCACTGTAATGTTGGTAATTTAAAAAACTCAAGAATAAACACTACATTTTAACTACTAACTAGTTATGTTATTCGACCCAATATCACAACGCATAACTCAAAAGAACCCCTGACAAACCAAAAGCAAAAATACACTCCATATTTCACAGAAAACATTAAAAAAGCGACTGCAACAGAATTAAATCAAATCAGACTCGTGTTTGTCGCCGAAGAAAAATCAACGTTCAATTGGCCCCACGCGACAATGACCGATGATTTATTGCGTTTCCTGTCCCTGTGGGGATCTCCGGAAATGACGCGCCGACTGTCTCGTCGAGAAATATTTCGTCGATATGTTACGCTGTGAGGCTGTGACACTCCCGCCATACTGCCAATTATACGAATAAGGTTTAAGGAAATAAAGCCTTTTTGGTGGCAACCTTATCCGATGGTTGGGATACTGTTTTATTATAGCTTCGAGATATAAATCTCGGGTAAGGTTAAGCTTATCTCGAAGGAGGATTCCAGGAGTTATTGTTATGATAAGAATTATAGAGAGGTTCATTGAAAATTTTATCTATTTTTGGGACAAAAATGTTTGTCGTTATGAGATGAACGGTAAGTATAAGCAGAATTTCATGTGGAAATTGTTTAAAATACATTTTAAGTAATCGAAAGCAAAAAAATGGAATTTAGAAAAGCTTGCACATTATACTAAATTACATTAATTCACAGCCAAGTACTAGGTTCAATCCCTACTTCAAAGCAAGAATACTAAGATTGTAAAATGTTTTAATGATCAAATGCATAATCTTGACTATGGCAGCATAGGTAGTATGCCATGCACGTTGACACAATAATATCTTCTGATAAAACTATACAAAAACTACTGCAAACAACAAACAAAGTAAACAACACCTGTGGTTTATCAAACTGTTAATTTTCCTAGTGCTAGTGGGGGAAAGGAGCAGAGCATCATAAATCGATCACGCGTCAAGTCGACGGTTCACGAGACGTTGATGGAACAATATTTCGATTCACTAAACTTACGTTACCTACGTACCCATCGTTGGTATGTTCTTTACAGACGTATTAAACACTTTTTGGTTGGACACTTTATTTTATACTAGCTTTTACCCGCGGCTTCACTGGCGTCACAAAAGGATAAAAAGTAGCCTATGTGATATACCAATACACACAGCGCCATCTATACCAATACTTTTGTTTTCCCTCAGGAATATCACATTTTAATCCCGGGATAAAAAGTATCCTATTATTTAATCCGGACTTCTAACTTTACGTCTGCAAAAATTCAAAGCAATCGTTTTAGTAGTTACGGCGTGAAAGTGGAAAAACAAACAAACAATTGTTTTTATTGTTTGAATTAGTTTATTCTATTTGAAAATGTAACTATATTTGTGTCACTCTAGATCTAATATAAAAAGTAATCTGTGGAGAACGTAGTGGGTAACATATTTGCCAAGTATAATGTGTAAGATGAATTATGTATATTTTGTAATATGTTACTGTTTGTTTTTCCTTAAATAAATAAATAAACAAACAAACTCACTTTCCGATTTATACCTCTAATATTAGTAAGGATAATTTGTCCAATGGAATCTATATTAATAATTTCGTCAAGGGGTACGTTAGACTCGATCGAAACATTACTTGAATAACAAAACAAAAAAACATATCGATTTCGAGTCGACAACTTATTCGGATTACGGAGATTATTTCGTTTTATTAATTCATTTTAATGACACTAACAGACAAACAGCAGTCGCTATCTTGAGTAGACAATAAACGTTCCGTTTCATACTAGCTCTCAAGTACGCCTCGCCAATCAACACGTTGTCGCGTCAAAAAAGTATAAATTAATAAGAAATATGAATAATTTCACGCGAACGAAGTCGCGGGTAACAGCTAGTGATTATATATTTTAGGAGGCAGCAGCAGCAGTAGTGTAACAGCTATATAAATCTTCCCGGCTTACAGTATCAATACATTGAATGTAACTACTATTAACGTATAAAATGAACAACTAATATTACATACATGAATATGATGAAGCATAAAGGCTATAGAGGTACAATGGATAGTAGGTTTATAGTCTCTGCTATTCCCTTTGGATAAAAGCGTGATTTTCTAAAAGTATGAACGTAGGTTTGTATGTATGTATATTATGAAATTTTAATACACATTCGAT